GGAAGTGCTAGAATGACCTCAGCGCCATTTGGTCCAGCTTTATAGCTGAATTTCATATGGTGATAACTTACGTGAGCGATTGCAGGCTTGAAAATGCTGTCGGTAAGGTCAGTGCCAAGTCGGCTTCGCCTTGATGGCTGATCTCCCATGTACTTCAGCAAGCACACGAACATAGTGATCGCATCCCGGCACTGCTCTTCCCTGTAAGGTCAGGATTCGAATGAGTGATTAGGGATTAACCTCAAGTAGTAGGATGAGGACTCAAAGGGAGAGTAAAGGTCAGACGCAAGTGAAGAAAACCTTACCTTCCTTCGAGCTTTTTCAACAACGGTACATCCAGCGGTTCACGACTGAAACGCCATCTTGGTGGAGGCATGACATCGCGGCGCCTTAACGTCATGAGTGACCGCTGAGCGACTGACGGTCGAGAAGGAGCTCTGTTAAATCATATTTTACATTTGGTGTACTGGAGGGTAACTGGGAGGGAAGAAAAGGAACCTGAAATTGTCGAGGGCAAACTGCTCCAACGTGTGCGGTCGTCCGTTGTTTTGGATGACCACGACCTGATTGTTATTGAGAATATCCAGAGCCATTTGTTCGCCTTTCGAGAACAGTTGCTAAAATGAAGTGAAAATATGGAAAGGTATTCTGGTTGCGCGTTTTCACGCTCCCTCGGAAAGAAGCAAAAAAATCGCCTGAAATGCCTTATATAGAAGCAGTTATTGAACAGGCGCTTCTACGTGAAGAAAGGGCGTGGTTGGACGAGTTCCCACTCACTGGTGCCAGCCCTTACTCCTTATTACCTCATTCTCACTATTCGAAATAGAGAGAGACAGAGAGAGCGATTCGACACCATCGATAGCAATTAAAATGTGATCGCCTGGGCGTCAGCGTGGTCATGTGGCTGGAGCGTGGCCTCGTCCGAGCCGTTTCGCGCTTTCCTTAGGCTGCGTTCATACTTTGCGGCAACGTCCACCAGCGACCTTCAGCGTACACCAGCGACCGTCAGCTTCAGCGACCAGGAAAGTATAGATAGGACCTAGCGGACGGCAGCGTCTACCAGCGTCTACCAGCCTCCACCTGGGTCTGTCAGCCACCATCAGTTCCTTTGGGGACTAAGAAAGTATGGATATCGATCTAGCGTCTACCAGCGTCCACCTGCGAAGAGGAGCAGAAAGTGTGGGGAAGTAGGATCGCGGTAGCCTGCTGGTAGAGTATGGAGAGCTTAGAGAAAGGTGTCTGCTGGATTAGGCGTCGTGAGACTGTGGCGTGTGCAACCGCACCGCACTACTATACAATACCGTTCTCCTGGTCGCTGATGGACGCTGGTAGACGCTAGACGACATCCATGTTTCTCTGGTCCCTCGAGATGCTGATGGCGCTGGGGACGCTGGTAGACGCTGCCGTTCGCTAAATCGATATCTATACTTTCCCAGTCGCTGACGCTGACGGACGCTCGAAACACTGATGGTCTCTGGACGACGCAGGTAGTCGCTGGTGGACGCTGCCGCAAAGTATGAACAAAGATTCACACTTTTAGGCAGCGAAAGCTCGCTCCATGTACCACTTCCGAAAAGGAGGCCTGCTCATCAAATTGACGCGGGGCGTGTTTCTAAAATTGACCTACGAAACAATAGACGACTAACCAATGTGTTCATATTAGGCTTGATGAGTGTGGCCAGTACATAGACGTTCTCCGTTTGAACATAACCCTGTAGGCAAGTACGAGCACATTCGCCCTGAAATCGACGGTGTAGTTAATGACGGGAAGTACTCCTGAAAGCTTCAAAGGGATACCCCTGACCTTTACTAGTTTCTCTGTGAGCAGATCCTTGCCTGTTGTTGTATTCATTAGAACAATCAGATCACCCACTTCGAATTCGAGCAAATTGGTCGAATCTAAAAATGCGCTTCATTAGGATTGATCCACAGCCCTCCCCAACGGATATCCTACCGTCTCCTTTTTGACGTTTCGTTGCGATGACATATCTGCTTCGCTGCTTGAGACCGTCAATAAACGTTGACACCAATTCCTTTATGTCTTCAGCGTTGGGGGACTGGAACGAGTACTCGTCGCCGGACACCGTTTGAAGAACACAGGCGTCTGCACCAGGTCGCGACCCTCTTAAGAGAAAATTCATCAAAATCGATAATTTTCAGCACATTCAAGTAGGATCAATTACTTCTGATGTGTCACTTTCGTGATTTCGGGATAGCTGAATTCAAGCAGCACATGCTCCTGATCGTCTACTACATAAATACCCGTCCAGTTTACGGCCACAATAACGTCATTGCGAGGAAGCGGAGGTCCGGAGAATTTAGTCGCTTCATAGAATCTGAAATAGTTTTTTATATTATATTCCGTTCCGATAACTGTTTTTAATGCCGCAGTTCGACTGTTATCGCAAGAATGTTGAGTTAGTGACAGGATCAAGGCGATGCACTCGAGACGCGCAGGCCTCACGCCTTTGGGCAACTGGTGCAGTTTAGTGGTCCCCCTGTCTACGCCATCTGTGAGTTGCCTTCAGGTGTTAGTGGCCTAATAAAGCCGCACACAGTCACCACTCTACTGACTTATGTGTCCGAGCCGCGAAATACTTCGTCCACCAGCTTGGTCTGATTGTAAGGTATAGAATTACCAAGATTTACAATGAAGGTGGTGTTCGCAATAAGACCCTTTATTGCCATGAATCCAAAGACGGGCACATGAAGCTACAGTAGTGTACTTCTTGTCAGTGCCTGGCAAGAGATTAGCCTCTTCATGATCAGTTGAAGAAAGCTGGCACTCCCTTACAGCCTAAGGTTTCTAGCACAGAAATGAAAAGAATGGAGCATTTGGCGTTTTTCTCCCTATCCTACTATATATAACGGCAACGTCTGTTTGTCTGTCTGTCTGTCCGGAAATTCGGAATCACCTGAAGAGCCAGTTGGAGGGGGCGGGTCAAGGGTGGGTTGGGTAGGGCATGGGCCTGTACGGAACACACATGAACTAAGCTAAGCCCCGCCCACTGTGGGCGGGGCGTGCGCACAGTTGTGAGCTACATATTTCAAAAATTCGTAGTTCGGTTCCAAAAGAGCCCGAGAGCGGAAAAGTGGCAAACGATAGGCAATCAGTTGGCGGACGAAATCAATGAAGCACACCCTTGATGGGCGGAGCGCACAATCACCTCTTTGTATCCTAATCCTAGCCAAGGCGAAGAAGATAGACTTGCAGCTGCACTAGCGTGCTACCTCCTGTTGTCAAAGTGCACGGAGGGAGGGGGCTGTAAGGGCAGTATTACCTGAGTGCCGTCTCCATGTTCCCCCTGCCTATCCCCAAGGTGTAGCACTTGCGTCGATATCAAGTCCCGCAACGAAACCTGTACACGCGCTTAGTGGTAGATTATAACCAGAAGTGAAAGGGCGCAGACAAGTAGCGCGTTTGGCTATGGTTAGACGTATGGATAGCCGTGCGGCAGCGCAACCGGAGTATGGAGACGACCCTGGGTATCGTTACCCTCCAACCCCGTTCACGTTTTCTGTTGACTGAAAAATTGGTACGTTATTGCAGCTGCGGACCCATTCACCTCACTTATGGCATGGACCACATGACCGGAGGAGAGCGTGCTGTTCGTCTTCAGAATGCACTACGCCTTTAACTCCCATACAGGATCGTTTTCGTATTTAACACTTTGCGTACCGCCGTACTGCGCGCATTCCCGCAAC